TCTTGCTGAGGCTGGTCTCGAACTCCTGACCTTGAGCGATCCACCTGCCTCGGCCTCCCAGAGTGCTAGGATTACAGGCGTGAGCCACCGCGCCCAGCGGATGACTTATTTTAAATTGAAAATTTTCTTACCAAGTTCTACATAACAACCTTTTAAACACTAATTCAGAACACGTTTCCATACGCTTATTTTTAAACGTTTTAGAAGGATCAGTCTGAAGCTGAAATTGGGTTTTCCTGCTTGAGTGCAGTAAATACCCATTTGCTATCAGTAATTATGTAATTATGTAAAATTATGTGCTCAGGAGAGCTGTCTACTAGTCTTCTGGTATTATAACCAACAATTAAAATGAAATAAAGCTTACTTAAATAGTAAAATGAATTGATTATTAACATAATCCCTTAATCGGGCATAAATAAGCTAACTTTAACAGGAAAAGCTCTAGTGTTACGGATGCCGGGCCTCGCTGCAATTCACAAGGAGTGCTGAGAAGTCCATCATTGCAATAACCGACTACGGGACATTTTCTCTATGCCTGTGACTTGGAAATTGAAAAAAGAAATCTTCTTTCAGTAATAAAATGAGGTGGGAGGCACCGTGATCCTAATCTCCAAATCCTCGTTGCTCGCCCTCCCCCGCACCCAAGTGCAGACTGGTTGGGGGTCCACCAGGGCTCCTCCAAACCCAGTGGGCCAGGCCTCTCCGAAGTCCTCCCTTCCTCCTGGGATCCCTCCCCTCCACGCCCCCTAGCGCCTCTCACCAGCTGCTGTCTGAACATCAGGGCCTCGGGACACGCTCCAGCCTGTTTCTCTCCGGTCTGGAGACAACCCGGCCTCACTGCCCGGCTGTCTCCCCGGCCCTCCCTATGTCAACCACTGGGGTCTCAGAGGCCCCACTGGACCCGCGGGCTCTCCATCGCTGACTTTGTCACCTCCAAAACCTCCTGGGGAGAAGACCTTGCTGGAGGGTCGCGTCCCTCCAGCTCAGGCTCCTGAGGTCAGTCCAGGGATGTATCTCATGGCCCCACCCGCCAACGGCCTCCCATTTCAGGGTCAACGCTCTGTAGACATCTCCAAGGAACTTCTGGAGCCTTCTATCAGCCCATGTCCCTTCCTTGCCCTTCTCTGGATTTACAATCATTGAACCCAAGAATCCTACTAAAATCAATGCAACTTTCCTCCGTCCGGTTCCCAAGAGCCCTGGCCCTCACCTGCTGCAAGCGTCCGGCACCCCGGCCCAGAACGACTTTCAACAATCCCATTTATTAATGCACTTCCTCCAGGCCCACCACCAACGCGCCTCCTCAGGGATCCCTCGCAAGCAGGGCCAGACCCCCCTCCAGCTCCCTGTCCCTCCCTCCGCCCAGGCCGGACCCCTCAGGGAGACCCCCAGCCTCCTGCAGGACCCTGTCAGCAGAATGGGCCCCAAGAGGACCCGAGACCACCTTCGCGGGGCTTCAACGTGCTCAGGTCCCAGTCCCCTTTGCGGGACCACGACCCCTAGGCAGGACCCCAGGCCCCTAAGGGATCCCCAAAGATGAGAACACCCAGAACGCTCAGGGGCTTCCAGTCCCGTCGGCACGACCCCCGGCGGCTCCCTCGGAGGCCCTGCCGTGAGACCAGGGCCCCCAGAGAGGGACACACGGCCCTCAGTGTGACCCCACGTCCCTCACAGCCTCCAATCCCCACAAAGGGACCCCATCCCATCGGCGTCTCCCTGGTCCCTCTCGGCTGGACCCCGACCTCTCAAAGCACCCCGCGCCGCAGGACGCTCGCTCACCATGTCGCATACTGGAGCCCAGTGCACAGACCCACAGGCCTAGGGCTCGGGTCACTCCTCGGGAACTCGACCAATCAGAGCCTCATACTAGTATGACGAGCAGCTCATGCAGCCAATCATCGGGTTTTGAACGGCAAATCGCAGGGAATAGGGTTGCTCGCGTTGCATGCTGGAAGTTGTAGTTCCGACCCGCTGGTTCTGAGCTCCGAGTCTGGGCTGTATCTGAGAGCCTGTTTGACCGACCTCTCTAAGGCTGTCTTCTCACCTACACCCATCTTGCAGGTCTGCAGAGAAAACATTCACCCACTCACTGTCCCCAGAAGGACAGGATTTTTTTGTTTTCTTTGTTTTAAGGCTAGTCAAGTGAGGGACAATTCTAAGTGTTGAACGTCCCCCCATCACGAACATTCAATGGCTCCCACTGTAAACTCCTGAGTGTTCAAAGACTGAATTCAGACCCCTCTGCCTGACTTAAATCTGCCTCCCACTTTACTGTACACACTATAGTACAGCTTTCCACCTGCCAGGCTATCTCATACGTCCAGGCCTTTGTAAATATCCCCTGTCTTGGAATACCTCCAAGGATGCCTCAATCTTTCTCACCTGGAAAGTGTCTTATTCATCTTTATCAGCCAGGACTCTGTTGTGCTCCACAAAAAAAAAAAAAAAATCCAACTCAAATGGGTTTTTGGCTCATGTAACAGAAAACGCTAGAGGTGGGGTCAGCTTCAGGCATGGCTGGATCAAGGACTGGCTGTCAGCCTCTGGAATCTCATGTTCTTGAAGTGTTTCACGGCTTAGAGGAAAGGGCTTCTGAAGTACATAAGTGCCTGAGTTTTGCCATCTGTGTTTCCCTGGATGAGTGTGTCTCCCTGAGCATGGACATCGATTGTGTATGACTGGGTGTCCGAGGGCCTTTATGAGGGTGCAGTTCATTGCCTTGTCTCTGTGGCTGTGCTTGCCTTTATGAGCACATGTGGATGTCTGTTTGCAGGGTATTTGTGACTTCGGTCTTCTGGATTCAGAGTGTCCCCTTGACAGAATGTGGGTGACAGTGGCAGTGGGGGTCACTGAGATTTCCCAGGACCTACACGGGGGCGACAAGATGCCCCTCAGGGTCAGAGTATGCAAATAGGATCCAGAGAAGCTGGGATTAGGGAGAGCATCAGAGAAGAAGTCAAAGGTGCCAGGCGAGGGGGACCAAGAAAGAAAGGAAGAAAAGGGGCATTTGGCTTGGGGCGGGGGACTGATTCATGTACTCCCTCCAGCATGACTGGGTAGCAGAACAATTGTCTCCATTTCACTGATGAAGAAACTGAGGTTCTGAGAGGCCCAAATCTCTGCTTCGCACCTTGATCTCTTCCCTGGGCCCCCAAGCTCATGAGTTTAGGTGTCACTCAGCGCCCCCATGTGGTGTCTACTGGCAACTAACGGGAATCTGGCCGCAGGTGCAGCGTCTTCCCTTGGACCTGCCCTACTGCCACCTCCCCATTGCAGAAAAGGCAGCTCCAACTTCCAGGGGCTCGGCCACAAACTCCTAAGTTGGTCTTGACTTTTCCCTTACCCCACGTATGAACGGGGCTGATGGCTCCATTTTCCAAGTGTAATCACAGTCCAGCCCGGCCTCAGCCCCTTCCCAGCCTGCGCCTCGTCCAGCCTCTGTCATTGCTTGCCTGCAGTCACCTGTTCCCTGGTCTCTGGCTTCCGTCCCCCACCGCATCCCCCGCAGCTGTTTTCCCCTGAGCAGCTTGTTCCCCTGTGAACACCTGAGCCAGACCGCACACCCCCTCTGCTCACAACCCTCCATGGCTCCCACCTCGCTGAGAGCAAAAGCCAAAGTCTCTTCTTCTGCATTGGACTTTCTGTGCACCCCCCCCTCATCGTTTGCTCAGTGCCGCCGTCCTACACTGGAATCTCCCCGTGCTCTAGTGTTCATCCTTCATTCAGCACCTCTGCTCTACGCTGCGCGTTCCCCCCTCCCTCGTCCACAGTGGATGTGCCACGTGGTCACTTCTGCATTGGAAGTTCCGCGTCCTCTGGTCTTCACTGCTAGTTCAGCATCTCTTCTCTACACAGGCCGTGCCTGCTGCCTGTCCTCCACGGGCCCTGCCCTGATTCTTACCGCCCCC